AATTAATAGATCAACATTATTTTCTCCTTCCTCCCTCATTTTTTTCACAAGGCAAATACTACCTGACAACTGTTGCTGTCTTCTCCAGAGGTTCATATTTTCCCTTCAATTTGGACTGCACAGCAGTGTGACTTCTCCTACTCTCTTTTCTTCTACTCTTTACTTCCAAATTAAGGCAAAATACGCATGCTTTGTTTAATCAATCCTATTTAAAGCTATTTGTTCTCAAGCTGTCACTTAGACAATTATTTAGCTGGCCTAAGAATGTGAATTTATGACTTTGGTCATGAAGCTTAAGAAGTAACAGCAGTGGGGAGGCAAGTTCTCATCTCTCTTTTCCTGGCCATGCTCAACCAACTGGAGACAAGAGCATTCCTGATATTAACCACTCTGGTTTTGGTAAGCACTTAACGCATTTTTGTCTTAAATGAATTTTTGAATATGACTACACAACATGCAGTCTCTATGTTTATGAAAAAGGCCTTTGGGTGTATTACATAACCTAACAGAAACATATGAAAAACTTCTAGTAAATAAAATAGAAAACATTTGTAAACCCTATAACGTGTTGTTAGTATTTTTAAACTTCATAAGAAGGAAAAGGGCCTCTCACATCCAGAATCATTCTTTTAAATTTGATGTGGCTCAGTATTTGGCATCTCACCGGTGGTTTCTAACCTGCATTTACAAGATAGCAAACTGAATTATAAAATAACTTCTTCTAAAAAAAGAACTGGAAATTATTAGTTGACCTCCAGGATGGACATGAAATCTTCACATAGTCCTGAGTAAATATCTCTGTCGCAACAGACACCACAACTTCATACTCTGTTTTGACAGCATTACAGCAACATATGACTGAAAAAAAACACAGAATAAATGGTGATTTCATCCACTGTGTCTCCAGGCTGGAATTTGCTAGAATCAAAGAAAAAGCTTTCTATTGCCATTATACCTTCCATTATCTATCTTGAGAAGAAACCTCAGTATTCAGCATCCCAAACTTTGTTTAGCGAAACACTGCTTGAATCTTCCAAACAAATGTTATCATCTGCCTTATTTTTACAGCCTTTTCACACTTTCCTGTTATGTTCATCACAGACAATTTCATTCTTAGCTCCCACCAGAGATTACTGGACCCTAACAGGAAATAATCAAAACTGTAGCTTCTTTCTATACCATTACTAAGCTGAGTTGCACAATATAGAGAGAGATTTTCAATTGTCCTGGTAATAGTACATTCTGAAAGAATGTGGACTAGGGCATGGTACATCTTCACAGTAATCTAAGTTACATACATTATTTTATGGACTAAATTTTGAGGGGAAAAGCAGTAATTTTCTTAATTTTTCAGGAATCAGGAAGGGATTAGTGGTATACCAAAGCAGTAACTTAGAGAACAGGCAGTTCAACTTGGTCAGCAAATAAGGCAGGACTTCCTTTTCAAGTAATTCAAGCAGGCCTATGCTAGATTCAAAAGCGGTACATATTCCTACTTTTTCAGGATCAAATTCAAGGTTTTTAAACATAGCATTTAACATTTATGAAATTGGATAAAAACTTTATTTCTGGTAGGAAGGCAACCTGTCTTAAAAAACAAATACAATTTAAAAAATCAGAAATTGGATACGGTTTTCTACATTCTAGTATCATGTGATTCAAACAAAAACTTCTGCAAAGAGAGCACAACAAACTTTTTTACATGTCCCTAAATCTTAGAGGATGATGAAGAGTTAATCAGTCCAGGAAGAGGCAAAACGAGACTGTTTTCTATATATTTTGCCTGAAAACTTACAGCCCCTACAGTAATAAAGAAATAAAAGCTGGCTTCATTAGCAGCTCCAGAGGCACACAGCATAGTAAAAACTAGCACCATCTTCACCCTCAAGGAAGTATACTACTTCTGCCAAACAGAAAGGATACTACACAGTCAGCATCTGTTTCACATAACGCTTGGCTGCTGAATATAAGAACCATAAGCAGTATGACTTATGCTGTGTTTTAAATATTGGCTGTTAATATGTTACTGTATTATGACATATGAAGCTTTCTGTTACCTAAAAAGACAAAGTATGAAAAACTAGAACTATATAGAACTCCACTCTCTAAATAACATGTAACAGCAGACAGTGGTTGGTAAAAACACACGCCTTTCTACCTTCCTCCAAGTTTCCAAGATCAAATATCTGGACAAGACCTCCACACTACAGTAAAGAGAAATGATATAACAATACCATAACAAATGAAGACAAAAATCAAGAATAAGACAAAAACATAGACTTCTCTTCAACACCAGAAGTACAAATTCCAAAATAAAATTTAACAGCGATTAAACATGTAAAATGTTTTGCTTTATTTACATAGAGCGGCAAGAGAGAAACCATGCATACTCCAGAAAGCTCAGGCTTTACAATCATCAAACAGGAACACATTTCTCAGCTAAAAGGTTGAATGCTGACCGCAGAATCACAGAATGACTTAGGCTGGAAAAGACCTGTTAGATCATCAAATCCGATCTTTGACTGATCACCATCTTGTCAACTAGACCATGGCACTAAGTTTCACATCGAGTCCTTTCTTGAACACTTCCTGGATGCTGACTCCACCACCTCCCCAGGTAGTCCATTCCAATGTTTAAGTAGCGTTTTCATGAAGAAATTCTTCCCAATGTCCAGATTGAGCTTCCCCTGGTGCAGCTTGAGCCTGTGTCCTCTTGTCCTGTCACTAGTTGCCTGGGAGAAGAGACCAACCCCCACCTGGCTACAGCCTCCTTTCAGGGAGTTGTAGAGAGTGACGAGGTCTCCCCTGAGCCTCCTCTTCTCCAGGCTAAACAACCCCAGCTCCCTCAGCCTCTCTTCATAGGACTTGTGCTCCAGATCCTTCACCAGTTCTGTTGTCCTTCTCTGAACTCACTCCACCACCTTCTTGACATGAGGGACACTAAACTGAACACCCAACTCGAGGTGCATCCTCACCAGTACAGGGGGAGAGTCACTGCCCTGCTCCTGCTGGCCACACTATGGGTGATACAGGCCAAGATGTCATTAGCCTTCTTGGCCACCTGTGCATGCTGCTGGCTCATGTTCAGCCACTGCCAACCAGCACCTCCAGGTACTTTTCTGCTGGGCAGCTCTCCAGCCACTCTGACCTCAGCCTATAGCATTGTCTGGGGTTGTTGTGACCAAAGTGAAGGACCCAGCATTTGGCCTTGGTGAACTTCATACCATTGGCCTCAGCCCATCAATCCAGCCTGTCCTGATCCCTCTGGATCCTTTCTATGGTCCAACAGAACAATGCTCCCACCCAACTTCGTGTCATCTGAGAACATAGAGGGTGCACTCAATCCCCTTGTCCGTATCACCAATAAAGATGTTAAACAGGACTGGGACCCATAATGAGCCCTAAGGAATGCCACTGATGACCGCCAACTTTTGGAAGAAAAACAAACTTTTGGAAGCTTGCCTTTGCTCCCTTACACCTAGACAATGAAAATCTATTGGAATTAGCATTTTTCTGCAATATCTCATAGGTAAAACAGATTATATAATTTTTAAATACAGACATATAAACACTCATATTTAAAGGAAAAAGAAATAAATAGATGCGGTAAAAAATTCTAACAATCCTTGTTAAAAAAACCCAGATTAAATATTTTGGATTACTTCAGGACATCTTGCCATGAGTCAAAGCCCTCTACTAAGATTTCTCAAAACCTGCATAAAAGAAAAGGTTAAGAAAGAGCCTTTAATGAGAATCTGCTCTAGGATACATAGATTCAATTCTTGATCAAAACCTGCATTTACCTATATGAATTACATATTTCATACAGCTTGGGCAGCAGAATGTATAAACTAGACTGCAAATGATTCACTATATTTTAAAAAAAAATCCAAAAAGTGACATTATGACTAAGTGACATCATGCAGATAACACACACAAGCAGAATCAACACTACTCCTGATAAGTGGTCCCTTTATCAAAGAAAACTACTGGGTTATTTTTTACAGGATACATGCTCAAACAGAAATAAATATGTTTCAATCCATGGACCAATGGTAGTAAAGAGGAAATGCTATCCTTTCCATATGTGCTTATCTTAAAGCCTTCTTGAAACAGTTTCAGATAAGACAACTGTCATGCAATTTGATCTCATGAAACTTCCTTCAAGAACCAAATTAATTTCTACTTAAGAGAGGTTCCAAGCTTGCTGAAAATCTAATAAACATCCTCAAGATTCATTCTACTCTATTTATATAAATAAAAAAGATATAAAAAAAGAAGAAATTCTAGAATATAAGTATCTAAGAGGTTTTTTTAATTAGAAGAACATTATACTTCACAAGAACTCTCATTAGGAGAGTGTTTTCTTCTTTTTAACAGTTACCTCTTGATCACTTGAGACTCAGAGTCAGAACTGGGCAGCTAAACAGGTTACGTGTATACAGAAAATTAAAAAACTTCACAACCATAAAACAACTATGGCTCCAAAATCCAACAAATCCAACAGAAGAACAGTTCCCAAAGAATATAACTCATTAGAAGTTGGCTACCTTTGTAACACATTCAGTGGTGCAGTAAATATATTGGTTTTGCCAAATCTTTATATAGTTACCTGGGCCCATGCTCATAAGTAAAAGCTTATACGTACAATAAACACAGGGAACACACTTCCTTGAGCTGCTACTTCAGCCATACTACAGTTTCAGTCCAGTTTGTACTTTTGTATGACCTAACCATTGCAAACCAAGAGATTACAGTTAGGAGATACACCACATTTGGCTGCCTTCTGCTCCTCCTGCTTTTTACCCTTTGTTCTTTGAGGTCAGGATTTGTACAACTTTTCTCAACTTTATCTTCTGTGATGAAACACAGATTTTTAATTCCAGTTGCACTGATTAATCATTTTTAAATTTAAAACAACTAACAATTTTAAACAACTATCTGTTATTATGGGATCTAGACACTGAATGTTTTTATAACCAAATGAATAAGTGCCGTACCTCCAAGTTCTTTTACGTTCAAGATGGCATTCTGGAATGGCACCGCTTTTATACTAAAACCTAAGAACAGAAATAAAGAGGAATAGTAAGTTATTTGTTAAAGAGGCCATTTGAAATCTATTGCATACATTCAGAAAAGAAGACTTTTCCCATCAAGAACCAGGATTTTGCTTGTGAAATTCTATTTCAATGTGTTATTAAAAAGTCAATTATAAGGCATGGTGGGAGGGGTGGGAGGAAGAGAATAGATCAGTATAAGCAATGAAATTTTCAATTATACTATTAAGTAGCTGGCACACATAAAATTAAGCACAAAACTTACACTCAGGCCATCTATCATTTGGTAAGGAGTTACTGATATAAAATTATCTCTTACTACATCTAGAACTAATGTAGAGATTTCAGACTACTAGTAATACGAAGTGATTGTTCTGCAATTTTTAGGAGATGCTGAAGACAACATGCAATTCAAATCATTGTTTTCTTCCATTTAATCTTCTGAGTGTTTTGGCTACACTCAGAGTATAAATTTTATATATAATTACCCCCTGTCCATAAATGTTATTAACTGAAAGATCCTTTTACAGACCTTAGTTGGATGTATTAAAATGGTTACAAGCATACCAAAAACATCTCTGAATCCTATACTAGTTCATTTCATGCTTAAACCTAATTAAAAAAAAAAAAAGAAACAAAACCGAACCACCAAAATGTGTGATCTTTACCCTTATCTGAAAATTTAGACAGCCAAGAGAAAGGGAATGTGAAAGGCTCCCAGCAAGTCATCAATGTATTATATACTAAATTCTGTATGTTTAGTAGATACATATATATAAGTGTACATAATATTTTACATAGGAAAAATTATGTCTGCTCTTTCAGCATAAAATATCCAGACATTTAATTTATTTCCATCTAGCACACACTGTTTCAACATGATTACATACCTGTGAACTGAGTAAAGAATTTTTGAATCAATGTGTTACACTTCAAGTTTATTAGCTATCATTTAACAGAAACAAGATGTTTTTTTCTCCCAGATCAGATCAATAAGGGATTCCAGTACTCCAGCTATGGTCAGTGCTAGATGCAGAAGAGGAAAGTACAAGAAAATCTGAAGGGAATAATTATGAAATATTTTTGGGTTTGTTGTCTTAAATCTTAAACTCTTCCTTGAAAGAAGGAAAAACTGGAATGGACCTGAGTGGCATTGATGAGAAAACCAAAAATACAGGTTATAGTTTGAAATATGAGTGGAGAAGTTGTCACACTGTATTCTTGTAATCTCCACAATATTCTCTGATGTAGCACAGATATGGTATACACGAGCAGATTTATTATAAGCTGAATATCCCATATGGCATCATTTTGCTTTAGACACTGCTTAGTATTCCCCAGAGTAATTTTTCATTCCTCAAGTTGCCTGATTAAATAATAGTATTTTATTGCATCTACCTGGAAAAAAATAATTTTTTAATTAATTGTATTTTCACTATTTCCTTTGATAACTCTATCCTATTTAAATTGGTTTTACTATTTCTTTCTGAGTCTCAAGTTTTAAAGTACAATTTGCTCTAATTCCAGACAAATTCTAAAGATAAAGCTCAGGAGATGGTGGCAGAGGCCAGGGGAGGGGGGGACAAGACTGAATTACTCTACAATTTCCCTCTAACTTTTTGAGTTAGTCATTGACACCTTCTCCACACAATGAAGTGTCAGATCTCTAACATTCCCAATACCACTACGTAGGCAACAGGTTAATTATTCATCATAAGAAAAACCCAGTATTCTCTTGTATCTGTTTTACATTTTACTTACAGTTGTATTAAATAACCTTATGTTCTTGTAAATTTAACAAAACAGGGTTACTAAGGCATATTCATAAAATTCAAGCCCATGGACCACAGCTACAATACAAAACCATGCAAGTGTAAACACAAGTTACTTGCACAACACTTGGTATCTGTTCCATCAGCAAATCAACCTTAATAATTGCTGCAGCCACTGAACCAGATTTCTTTGATCTCTATGATCTAATCTTTCCTCTTTCAGAACTTTGCAGCCAGGTATTCCTGTTTCTGATTCTTCTGGTGCTGTTTTGTTCATGGATTGTTTTTCAATCAAAACACCCTTTTCAGTATTAGGCATTCAAGTTCACCTATATCAAGATGTCTATTAAAATTTTTTGGACTTAAGATACCTTTTATCTGTGGTTGTGCTGTCTGTTTCTATGTACCTTCTCAATACAACTGAAACTTTCTGTAAACTGATTCTCTGATCCCAATCTGTCCTTACTACAAAACAAACCTGTTGCTGCTCTAAAAAGTAGGGATTATCACTAGAAAAAAATTCTCTCTATCACATTTATTCTTTTGGTTGCTAGCATACACCATAAGGCAGTACAGACCAAGTATGTGCAGAAATAAATCCCAGTTTAAGTTTCAAAGCATCACTGTCCTATTCTATTTTACAGCACATTCTCCTCTTTTCTCTCCATATAACAAGACTGCTTAAAAGCCTAAAGTAAAATGAGAAGAAAGAAATGCTGTAACGTGTCTACAGGACAGTGCTACTGTATATTATGGTTCTGCTTCATTACACCACACTGTTTGGATCTTTAACACATTCCAAGTTGTGTGTTTTCATGGATATTCCCCAATGTATGAACAAACACTGAAAGAGTAAGTAGTGGTAGCTTCAAAGCAATCCATTAGGTACTTTCAACAGTAAAATAAGTAGGCTGAAGCTCTCTGCAACCTTTGCTATATGATTCAAAAGTTACCTTTGGGAAATGTTACAGCACACCACGGAATAAAGACACCATCCTACCTGTGGTAGACACGATATTCTCCAGGCTCTCACTGCAAAGCTGAGACAGAAGACTTGTCTTGCCAGAACCAGAGAGGCCTATGCAAACTAAGTCATATTCAGGTCGTGGTGGTGGCGGTCCCTTGCAGCAAAGTGCTCTAAAACACTGGGCAAAACAAACAAAACAAAAACAAAAGGATGAGGTTACCTTTTTAGGTTTTTTCAAATGCTTATTCAACAATGTTCTAAATTCAAGTTTATAAACATAAATGCATTGGAGAGAAGCAAATTATTATTCCAACTTGCTATTTTGACTAAGTCAACAATTAATAGACCCAAGACAATCTGAACTAAAATCTAGAATAACATAAATATATTTGTGAGATTTTCACCTAAACCTCAAAGAGCTGGTTTGAGGAATATTTCCCAAATAGCACAAAGTGTGCACATACAGCAAAATAGGCACATGCCCCAGTCAGCTCTGCAGTTGGTTATGCATTAGTTTGCTTCCTGTGTTAATTTCATGCAATATCTGGTGAGAATATCAGAGTCATTCTTCAGCAGCTGCTGGTAAGGCTTTACCTATTGTCATAGGAAAGAATCAAGAACCTTTGCTCCACTAATGTGCTTCCTGGGCTTGCTTTATCATGCATTTTAGCTTACAGCATCAACCATAAAGAAGTATGGCTTGTAAATACATAAATAAACCTTGCTGGACATAGCTCTAGCAAAAAATACGCAGATTTGTCACCTTCCCTGGAAAACTATAAATTAATCATGATATAAAGAAATAAAAATATCTTACACAAAGCCTACTTCAGGATTCTGCTCACTTCTCTTAAACAGTTTTACCATAGTTGGCCAAGCTCATCCAAAAGGTCCCTTAGGCACTCAGTAAGGTTCTTCAGACCTTTCCTTATTGCAATATAGAAGCTTTTTATGTAAAAATCTAAAAGCGTACCAGCCTGGGAAAGCTAGGAAGTTTATATTTGATGTATAGAGCTAGGAAGTTTATATTTGATGTATATAGCATTACCTGCTAATGTCCAAGACAGACCTCCACCAGCCCAATATATATAAATACCTTTTCCCCCAACATATGCCACCTTCATATCAGAGGAAGGCATCTGCTGTAACAGAGAAGGGAAAACTTGTTTATGTAATCACTCCTTTCTCACAAATTCTGTCTTTACATAGCCCCATTTCCATCTTAACCACAAACTAATCACTGTACTGGGAAAAGAGATCTGGTCTTTCCAACCTTAACCTAGTTTGTCTTAATAACTATCCAGTTTCTCCCATTGAGGACTACTGTAGGAGCAGAGAAACTGAACTGATGTCAGTAAGGCACTGACGCAAATAGTGGGGTCTGACCCTGTGAGCAAATCATCCAGTGAGAATGTGATTATAAAAAGACAGCTCACAGAACACAGAAATTTAATTGGATTCTTTCCATATAGATTGTAAGCTATTATACATGCTGTTGAAACAGTTTTCATTGCTTCAAAGAAGGAAAAGATATGTTTGGTGAAAGTTATCAAACTCCTTTAACACCTTTTAAAAAAGTGAAAAAAATACTTTAGAAGAAGTAAAAATATTTATAGTAGTAGTTAAGCTGAACAAGGGCAAGAGGTTTTAAAAAATAATAGCTTTGTGTCTATTGAAATTTGATTCAAGAATATTTTTTTTCAAGAAGATTTGCACTTACGTGTCCATAGCTTAAAGGAGTAAACATGCCTTATAGCTTTATTGGTGTTCTATTTATTTACTGGTTTATATTTATCTCTCAGATTCTACAAAGCTACAGCAAATATTCCACTCCGGCACTTACGTGAGAAAGGCCAACTGAGTTCACTGCACAACATAAACTCCTTTAAATAGAGTTTTCACTTAATGGATATCAGGCTGAAGGCCACATAAAATTCTTCGAAGCTTGCCAGAGCTCCCGAGGCTGTGTGTCAGACCCTCTGCAGCCAGTCTTTAAAAAGCATTCAATTTGTCCCTGTCAGTATGGCATCTTTGCAACAATCTCTTGATGTCATATTGAAAATCATAAAGGAATAGATGAGCTGACGGAATTCTGTGCTTCTCTCTGTCCAGACACTGTGCCAGTTCTTATGCAACCAGACGTCTCTTGCAGCCCTGACAACACCTAATAACATCTAAATTCTGTGAAAGGTAATTTATGCTCTTTGTAGAATACATATGGAGGCTCTGTGGGTGACAGAAGGGCTCCACAGGCAGGTTTTGTAAACTTCAGTATCTCTTTAGTGCAGATTCCTCAAGTCTAACTTAGTCTGGAGAATCTTTATGTGCTGTGGATTAAGCATATGATCAAAAATCCAAGTCAAATTGCACATCCAAACCAGTACATGTAGACCCACCACTCTCTGACACATCCTTCACCAGTAAGCACAGTTAGGTATGAAAATTTCTGAGATTTCCAGAAGCCAGGTAAATGGCTCCCTCCGGACAACTCTCATATTTTATTTTATATGATTCCCCTATCTTTGTTATATTCGTGACTTTGTCCTTGTGCTAGGCTAAGTTCCTTCAGTAGATTGGTTTAGCTGTAATGAAAACAAACTTTTAATATTCTAGCTTCAAAAAGCTGCTGAAACTTAAGCTACTGTGTATAGCACTTAGAAGTGGCTGACATGAGAAATTCTACAGCACATTGCAGGGGATACTTGTAATAATATATTCGAACTTTATAAACTTGTTCTGCAATCTTCCTTACTCGAGCTCAGTGAGCATCTCTCCTATTGGAAATACCACTATACAAACAGCCTGATCACCCTCTTCCTGTTCTCTCAGCAGCTTAAAGTTACCTGGCCCCTAACAAAGTCAGAACTCCATTATGGAACAGTAAACCTCTATTGTCACAACTTTGGCAGCTGCATCTAGTAGCTGTACAATATCTATGGAGAGTAGAAAATTCAGGGGTCATTGACTATGCAAATAAAATTACACCTTATATTCTGCATTTTATTATGGACAGGAAATGCATCCTGAAATATTTTATAACCATGGACTAAGAGCTACACATTATTTAAGATGCATTACAGTGCACTCTGAAATCCACAGAACTGCAATAAATGTGTAGTAGTAACTAAAGAAGCCATCCCAGAATTCCAAAACACAAATATATCAAAAACACTGAGAGACTTGCTCAATCCACTGCTAGTGCTCAGTTCTTTCCCAAAACAGTATACTTTCTACTCCATTTGGACAACCCAAAGGGCATAAGAGAAGCTTGAACTAACAGTCTGACTGCTCTCAAAACACTAGTCAGAAATAGACTTGGAAGTTTCTTCCACTGATTCCCAAACCCTATTTTCTCAATGGGCAATAAAAGCCTGCCTTCTAGGTATTATAAAGCAAACTGAACCCAAACAGTGCCTCTTGGAGGAAGTGTTGGAGGGGACAGAAAGAAAACACTGGACTACTGCAAACAGATGGTCAAGCAGAGCTGGCTGGTACAGTCACTAAAAGGTTGTTTGGGGTATGGCCATATATTCCAGTCCCACTGTTAGCAACAAAAAATAAACAACTTTTTTTTGAGCCTTTTTCATCTTATCAGGGTAAGACCTTATTTACTATAAGGGGAGTAACATATCAAAATGTAAGCTTTCACAATTTTAATATTAATTTTGTATTTTAATGAACAAATGTATTTTTAAGTACTGAAAATAAAACAATAAGGTATCTTTATAATATGTACGCATTTAGCCAGTTTTTGAAAAGAGGATGTACCTATCGAAGAAATTGGGAGTAATACATGCTGCAGTGTGCAGAAATTTGTGCAATATTCAGAACCACTGTGACTTTCACTTCTAAGTGTGTGCACACACTGCATGTGCATGTATAATTATTTGCAAGAGTTAAGGAAGAAGTTAGTCAGTTCTACTCTACCTTATGGATTTCTAACCCAACAAGACAACTCTTGTTTTAGGTGGATCAGTATTTATGCTGACAATCCTAGACAGTGTTCCTTTAAAGTTCTATGGAGAGTTCTTCTGGGGAAAAGCATATTGTGTTTACAGCAGGGATGGTCAAACACTTCTGATGTCTGTGCCGCTCGCTCGGAGATCACAGATTGAAGCTCTGGGCAGCAAATGTCCCTGAATTACTACTCTCTACAACACATTAAACTGCCTCCAGCTGTTGAGTCTGTCTTTGCCTACTCATTGTACTTCTCGTTTCACTCTCCTTTTTGGAGTGAAATACTCCATTATTTCTGCTTTGTTCTGGACCCATCTCCTGTCTGTTTCTTTTGTTGCCACTATTTAATAGGGACAAACAGTAGCAAGGGATTTCATGCTTAGTTGGTTAAACACACACACTCTCATGGAAAAATACCCTAAGTTAGTGCAGCACTAATGCTAACAAACCAAGCATTCAGAACTCTTGAAATACAGAATTAAGGCTGAAAGCTCAACCATAACTCTGCTCCCTTCCCCCTCTGGCTTATACTTATGGATATGGTCTTCCTTCACATTTTATTTTTCAGTTAAGGTATCTTTGAATAAACAGAGTTCTAGTACCCAGTGTACACTTATATCCAGAGGACTTCGTTAATCATCATCTGAAGCTGTTAATAAAACTCACGAAGTTTATTAAAAGAAGTAAAATTTACACACAGAAGATTCCATAGTTCTGATGTTGTCTGAGGTACAGAAGCAAAATGAAATCTCAAACCTTGAAAAGCTGATATGAAGAGGGTAGGGGGTTGGGGGGGAGGGACACAGTGGCACAAGGTAGACAGTTATAATGTTAACAATAGGAAACAACTGGGAACAGCAGTGGAATAACTGAATGCAAATAATAAAATACACATAATACTAGAATGAAATTATACACCGTGAACAGAGAGGGGGGAAAAAGGATATATAAATAAACTAAACTTTAACTGTATTAGTACCTTAACTTTAAATTAGTACAACAGAATCTATACATTTGATTGTGTGAGCTAAAGCTGCAGACTCTTCAGTTTCCATATAGCTGCACAGGTGGTTTTACCATAACAGAAAAAAAAAAAGGAGGAAGAGGAAAACCTACTTAATTTAAGACACACCATAAGTGACACTGCTTTCAGGTTTTCAAAACATCAGACTGATAGGGTTTATCTTTGTCTACGTCACTTCAGTAATGAGAACAAAATCT